AGCAAAAGCAGAATCAGACACAGAATTCATACTGCGAAGGATGGATTCCTGCTTCTGGACGTTGATCGGCACTTCTCCAAGCTCAAGCTGGCCTCCAATGGTGTTGAAGATCAATCTAGGGCACTTGGGAACTCTTGCTCGTCACTTTCTCTCTCTAGGAACTGATCTCTCTCTCAAAAACTCGAATCCCCCTGAATTGTGGCTGAAAATATGCTTAAAAGCATCAGTGGCCAAAGCACGGTCGAGGGCACGGCCGTGCTTTGCCTGACTCCGCCCGTGCCTCGGCCAGGGCTTAATTACACGGCCAGCAAGTGGGTTAAACACGGCCGTGCTTCGCCATGTACACGGCCGTGCTTTGACTGAACACGGCCGTGCTTTGGTGCCCGTGTTTGCAACTGAAATTGCCAAACCGAATTTGCTCTCGGCATAAAAAGCACGGCCAGCAGTACACGGCCGTGTAATGCCTTGGGTCTGCCCGTGTTTTGGCTCTAGCTCACCGAAATGACTTCCGAATGCCCCGAAACTCGCGGTTAGCCTTCCCTTTAACGCCTGGGACCTGAAACATGACAAAATAGCACAACCCGGCGTAAAATAGGCCAAAACACACGACTATACTCCTCAAACGGATAAGAACAAGGGGCGCAAACATGTGCATTTACATCGTTATCAACTCCACTCGAAGTAAAGCATGCTCGAGAGAAGTGGGCTGATGAAGATGAGAGAAATTTCTAGATGAATTCAAAAGCAACAAATTTGATGTACTGTGTGGTGGGTGCAGATGAATATCATCGGATCACTGGGTGCAAACAATAAAAGAGATATGTGACAAGCAGCAAGTCGCCCACGAAGGTACTTCCCATGTCAAAATCTCCAGAATTAATTGACTGAAGTAAGATTTTGAGTCGTTTGTGTTGAAACCCGAGGAATCTATCAAGGAAATAAATGATAGATTCACAATAACTCGAGGAATCTATCAAGGAAATAAATGATAGCAAAACTGCTTCAATTACGGAAAGAAAAAAAAGGAAAGGAGGATTCACCAGCAGAGCAAAGGAAGGTGATTCGAAAAAGGAACAAATGATGTTGGTCAGAACAGGCTCAAGATTCAGAAATGATTCAAACAGTAATGACAAGCCAGGATCCCAAGGTGGATGTTTCAAATGTGGAAGAAGCGGGCACATTAAAGCAGAATGTCTACAATGGAAACGTGAAAAAGCTTATGCTGCTACCTGGAGTTGCAGTGAAGACGAAAATGAAGAAGGAGATGCAAATACAAAATATGAAGAGTTCATGGCAATCAATGAAAGTGAGGACGAATCTGACATGTCTTAGGTAAGAACATCTAACTACTACTCTGATTACTACAGTGAGAAGGATCAAATGATAGAAACTATTAGGGATATTCATTAGAATTCATTAATGTAAGAAATAAGCATCTTAAGCTTAAGGCTGAATATGAAGATATGTCAAAAAGGTACAACGATCTAAGAAAAGAAAAGCTGGAATGTGATGAAAAGATTAAAGAAGTAGTAAATAGAAATATTGAACTGGATGCAACAATTGCCAGATCGAAGAAAACAGTTGACAACAAGTTAAAACATGAACTAGTCAAGAATGCATGGATGTCAAGTCATCACAAGTCTCATTATAGTAACATGTCAATGACTGAATGCTTTTATTGTCATGAGCTAGGACATTACATTGCACATTGTAAAAAGAGGATAGCTAAGGAAACTAGATTTAAGGAAACAACATGCTTTTCGTGTCATAATAAGGGGCATACGAGCTATAACTATACTAGTCTCAAGATGAGAGTTGGGGTATCCAAATTAGTTTGGATGCCAAAAACCAAATAAATACAATTTTGTGTCCAGGTATGCTTCCAAGTGAGCATGGAAGACAACGAATGGATTCTGGACAATGGATGTTCACACCACATGACTGGAAACGAAAAACTCTTTTATAAATTGATTAAGGGTAAGAAAGGTAAGGTTTATTTCGGTGATAATTACAACACTGATATCTTAGGAAAAAGAGAAATAGGGACTGGTCATGTTATTAAAAATGTAATATGGGTAGACGGGTTAAAACATAATCTATTTTCAATAAGTCAAATGTGTGGTGAAACTAATAGAGTAATTTTTGACCGTAACAAATGTTATGTTGAAAATATTGAAACTGAGAAAATTGTGTTCACAGGAAAAAGAAAAGGGAAGCTATTTTGTATAAACTTCAATGACAAAAACGATTTCAACGAAATGTGTTTGGTGTCTATGGACAAAAATAATCAACTCGAATGGCATAGGAGACTGGGTCACATCAATGTAGGATCTTTAGCAAAACTGGTCAATTTGAATATTGTGACCGAGATACCTAGAATAAATAGCAAAAAGGATTTCTTCTGTGAAACATGCACAAGAGAAAAACAAGTTAGATCATCCTTCAAAAGTAAAACTGTTATTTCAACCTCTAGACCACTCGAATTATTGCATTTAGATCTGTTTGGTCGTAGTAAAGTAATGAGTCTTGGGGGAAAGTATTATGCATGTGTTGTAGTGGATGATTTTTTAGGTTTACGTGGGTAATGTTCATTGCAAACAAAAGGGAGACTTTCTTACACTTCAAAAACTTAGTTAAGTGTCTAGAAAATGAAAAGGGAACCAAGATAGTTAGTGTAAGAAGTGATCACGGAGGTGAGTTTATATATGATGATTTTGAAAAATTCTATGGTGAGTCAGGAATATTTCATAACTTCTCTACACCTAAAACACCTCAACAGAATGGAGAGGTGGAATAGAAAAACAGTACCGTCATAGATATTGCAAGAACAATGCTAAACGATTATGGGGTGCCAAACCATTTTTGAGCAGAAGCTATAAATACATGATAGAAGCTGTGGAAGGATAGAAACCAAATTTGAGATATTTTCATCCTTTCGGTTGCAGATGTTTTACTTTAAACACTAAAGATAATCTAGGTAAATTTGACTCGAAGTTAGATGGGGCTATTTTTCTGGGATACTCTACAAATAGTATAGCATATAGAAGTTACAACAAACAGACCCTCAAGGTAGATGAGTCCATAAATGTGTTATTTGATGAGTCTTCTAGAAAGTGTACATATCAGATCGAAGAGGATGATGATCTCGGGTTAGGAAGACCATATCAGAAAGAACAGGTAGATCAAAGCATACAAGAAGGAAGAGATAAAACAGAAGCGGAGAAAGCAGCTGAATGGAATAAAGAAGGAGTTAATAGAGTCTAGAAACATGGGACAAGGTATGGTTACTCGATCTCAAATACCTTCTGTACATACATCATTTGTTTCCTTAATAGAGTCTAGAAACATTGTTGAAGCCTTAAAAGATGAATTCTGGACAACATCTATGCAAGATGAAATAGGGTATTTCAAAAGATTGAATGTATGGGAACTGGTTCCAAAACCAGAGGATAAACCTATTATTGGAACTAAGTGGGTTTACAAAAATAAAACCGACGAGATTGTGGATATAACCAGAAATAAATCTAGGTTGGTAGCACAAGTATATGATCAGGAGGAAGGAATAGACTTTGATGAATCCTTTGCTCCAATAGCTAGACTAGAAGCTATTAGACTATTATGTGCTTATGCTGCATAAAAAAGATTTAATGGTGATTTAAAAGAAGAAGTTTATGTTGCTCAACCTCCAGGGTTTGTAAATCACAAATTTCTTATCATGTGTATAAATTAAACAAAGCATTATATGGGTTAAAACAAGCTCCCAGAGCTTGGTATGAAAAACTAAGTAATTTTCTGATTACTGATGGGTTTCATACAGGATCTGTGGACAACATATTATTCATCAAAAGTATAAATGGTCACACAATATGATATAATATTTGGATCGTCTAGTCAGGACTTGTGTAAGGAATTTGATTTTGCCATGAAAGGGGCATTTGAAATGGGTCTCATTGGTGAATTGACATATTTTCTTGTTTGCAAGTTCAGCAAACAGAGAACGGTAGCTTCATTAGTCAATCCAAATATCTTATAAACATGCTGGAAAGGTTCGACCTAAAGAATCTCAAATCTGATATCACACCTATGGGGTCTACAATAAAACTTACAATGGATGAATCTGGTGAACCTGTAAATGATAAAATGTATAGAGGAATGATTGGTTCTCTACTCTATTTAACTGCCACCCGACCATACATCATGTATAGTGTATGTGTGTGTGCTAGGTTTCAGAGTTGTTCGAAGATAAGTCACTTATCTGCTGTAAAAATAATTTTCGTTATCTAACTGCCACTCAGTATCTTGGTTTGTGGTATTCATGTGAATCGAGTCTTGAACTACTCAGTTATAACGATTCAGACTATGCTGGATGTGTAATTGATTGAAAGAGCACGTCTGGGACATGTCACTTCCTCGGCACATCACTAATTTCGTGGGCTAGCAAAAAGCCAAGCTCTGTTGCATTATCAACTGCGGAAGCATAATATATAGAAGCAGGTTTAAGCTGTACCCATACTGTGACTTAAATACCAACTCCAAGATTATGGTCTAGACATAGGATCCCTTCCCGTTTTGTATGATAACACAAGTGCTATAAACATGACAAAAAACCCTATTCAGCATTCTCGTACGAAACATACTGAAGTGCGTTATCACTTCATCCATGATTTCGTACAATAAGGCAAAGTCCACTTAGAATTCATTAGTAGCGTTATGCAATGGGCAAGTATCTTTACTAAGCCACTAGGAGAAGATAAGTTTATACCTATTCAAAATAAGCTAGGTATGTTCTTCCAGACATAAATTGATTCGTTGTGAAACTTTTGATTCTCAAAGATATTTTCCTGCTTTGTCGAAGGGATTCTTGCCCCCTCCCCACACTTTCCTTTTCTCCTCATCCGAAGGGTTTCTCTTTTTGTGAAACTCACGTGTATAAAATAAGGGTAACCCTTCATATCCTCGGCATCATTGTTTTCAAATCCTCCTCTCTACCAAACTTTTCGATGGTGCTCAATCACGCTCAGTTGCAATCTCCTGCTCTTGTCAAAAACCAAAGCTTTCGCAATGTTGCAACATATTCTCGGTACCTTCGTCGCTTTCGTGATCGTCCTCTCTATCCTTCATTCTCTATTCATCCATGAACCTTTTCAAAATACGATATGGACATCCCTGCCTATTTTCAAGGACTCAGGTGGGGATCTCTGGTTGAAAATATGAGATTCAGCCTGTGTCCCGAGGCTGGCCGATTGTTTTATGTCAATCTTCGTCATGGTCCTGGGAGTGATCCTTCCTTCTTTACCACACTGGTGGTTGACTATGAGATCAAGGTCAGTCCTGATTTGCTGGTGTCCGTACTTGATCTTCCTCACTCTGGTCATCAAGCGGGTACAAATAGAGACTTCTATAACTTAGGATTTTGCTTCGACGAGGTTCTCGAATCTCTAGCTTATGATATTTGGCGTTGGTTTCCATCCCAAATCTCAGCTGGGCGGCTGCCGGATAATCTTAAGGTACTCCATTTCTTCAACACACGCTGGTTTTTGCCTCATGATCTAGCTAGGATCGATCTTATTCATTCAACTGATCTATGGATTCATTTTAATGCATGAGTTGGGCGTCACATTAGCTATGCATCTCTCATGTTTCAGCACATGATAAAGTCTGGTATTGAATACTATGGTGGTCCGCTGCCCTTTGGTCCTCAAATCACTCAACTCCTATATCGCTTAGGTATTGATCTTCGTGATAAGGTTACTGTTTGTGAAGTTTTGGATGATCTGTGTCCTCAACATGTGCTTGCTCACCTCGACGCACTTGTTGGACCCTGAAACCTTGACACTGGCTCAGAGGGAGTGAGCAACCCCGAATTAGCCACTTCTCTTGTCAATGCAGCTGTTGCAGCATTTAAGCAGGAAGCTAGCTCTAGGAGTGGATCGAAAAGGAAGATCATGCTGGAGAAAGATTTGATGCTACCAAAATTTGTTTATGAGTCTAATCAGATCAGTGATCCAATTAGCCCGGACTCAGATTTTGGTGACGAGGACAATATCTCAAGCTATGCGTCGCCACCTAGCTATCCCTTCTAACTAACTTAGAGTCGTAGCTTAGGGGGCGGGGGTGGGCTAAGTAGTCTAATGGTTGAGGGTGGTAGCTGTGTCTTAGGGGTTGTGGGGGTGTCCTCTTGTCTTTGGTTGTTTAAATCTTAAGTGTGTAAAAGAGAAAGGGGATTTGGGTAGAATAGGCATCCTTTTCACGTATTGCTCAAAGAAGAATTAGAGAGTATTGTCTGAGTTTGAAAATAACGGAGAGAGCTGTCAGGGAGAGAGCTCGTAGAGAAGTTCGATTATCAGGTTGAAATTTTGACAGGGAGCCATGATTCCTAGGGTGATTCTGATTGAGTGACAGGGAGTCACTGTGGGATTGGTCTTTGATAGACCGTCATTTACACATGTTTTTACCCCCGTTCTTACACCGTTTGAGGTGTTGATTCTCGTGTTTTAGGCCGATTTCACGCTAGGTTGTGCTTGTTTGTGATATTTCAGGTCCTAGTACGTGAATGAAGGCTTAGGAGCGAGTCTGGGGTCGATTGGACGAAGAACGGACGAATGGCGAGGTTTTGGGGAGCTGCACGGGCAGACCAGGGAGTCTGCACGGCCGTGCACGGTTGCAAGCTGGCCGTGCGCCTCATGCCGAGGAGCTGCACGGGCAGGCCCTGAAGATTGCACGGCCGTGCACCCTGGCCGTGCAAGAAGCCTGAGTTCGACTTAAGGGATACGCTGCGTTTCATGGTGCACGGCCAGAATGGTGAAGTGCACGGTGAGTTCGACTTAAGGGATACGCTGCGTTTCATGGTGCACGGCCAGAATGGTGAAGTGCACGGCCGTGCACCCTGGCCGTGCAACTCGGGAAACCCGGTTTTAAAGCCTAATCCGAGCCAGAAGTGAGAGAACAGTGTTTTCAGAGCAAAAACAGAGCCCTAGAGAGAGAAAGTACGAAGAACACATCCTAGAAGCTGTCTTAGAGCTGGATTTCATCGAATCGAGCCTGGAGATTGTCATAGGAGTGAAAATCATCGTCCCGGAGCAGATTATCCTCATCGTTATGAGTATGACTAATCCGATTCTTGTTTTCTCTTCTCTCTCTATGGAGTAGAACCCTTCTCTCACTTGGGGATGAAGAACCCTAGTTCTATGTGTTAGGGATTGATTGTAATGACTTGGGATGATATTACTGTTTGGTTTTAATCGATTGAGACATGCTTTATTGAGTCAATTGAATCTTGATCAAATTCTCTTGATTTCTGCTTTAACCTATGATAGATAGAATCTGATTAGGTTAAGAGAGCTTCCTTGATTGATAGTGGTGAATTGGTTGTGCGAGAGTCAATCAATTTACTGCTTTGTACTGGAATCTAATTCCAGTAGTGAATTTCTGTTCTTACTGCTTCAGCTTTCTATCCCGGTGAAGACTAGTCGTCTGCCGGGTAGTTAGACTGAGAGGGCTTGGTCAGCTTAAGAGATTCCAAGCTACTGCCGGATCTTCCGCAGTCTAATCAACAGCAAATCAACCCAGGGTAAATTGCAATTGAAACCTAACTAAAGAGCTAGGGGGATTCATTCCCGAGTGACTCTTTCCTGCTTAAGAAAACCGAATAATTTCCTGCTTTATTTCTGCTTTTAGTTTAAGCAACAATCACTTACTCTAGTTGGCTAGATAACAGAGAATCACTGAGTAAGCAGTAGATCTAGACCCCGGGTTGATAATATAACTTGCCTGTTACTGCATTCCCGGTCTGCGATTACACTTGGTCGCAGATTGGTGTTGTGTTTTGGCGTGTCAGTCTTGTATTTTGTAATCCGAAACACATAGTCATAGTATAACGTCAAAGGACTCAAACAGAGTACCTTTGGTCGTGGACTAGTTTATACTGATTTCTCTGTATCGGAAATCATGTAAAAATTGTTGTGTCATTCTATTTTCATTGTTGATTTCATCTACTCTATAATCGGTCTCTGTTTTGAAGGTAAAAAAGGAAGACAGGGGAGCTCTACTGAAACTTGGCGAACTACAGAAACCTATTCAAAGCGTTGTCATGTTGAAAAGAACACTCACAAACAAACAAGGCTTTTGTTATAGTAATTTTAAATTGACAGGGGATTGGGCTTTAAGCCCAACAGTCACAATTGTTACTTGTTTAGGTGTTTCAGATCGAAACAAGTCAGCCAATTTATTTCACTTGACTTTCTTCCTCTTGCAATTTCACGAGCACATTAGGGTTCTTGAAGAAAGGTAAAGAGAAGAATCAGTAGCTGTCTCATGCTTGCATGCACCAACAATATATATGCATTCTATGATTTCTGAGTGGGAAGATAACATGGACTATGAGGTGTCTTTCATGGCTATGAAAATGTAGTCTAAACTATCCAAATATTGGTTTGAGAAGATATGGAAAATTTCAAGATGAATTGATTATGTTACATGGCGGTTGTATTAGATTCTAGGCGCAAGCTTGAATATCTTAAGAAGCTTTCAAGAATGTTTATGGTGAAGACAAGGAAAATTTGGCAGTGGAGGTGGAAGATGAAATTCTTGTGATGTTTGAGAACTACAAGCATAGGCTTGGACTTCATGGTGTTTCTCCTCTACTTTGTTCCAATGTCATGCAAATGTGTTCGGATGAACTCCAAATCGATCCTTGATAGATTGTAGATGAGTACAAGACTTAGAATATTGTTACTAATACTAAACAAGCATAAGATACAACAAATTGGGCATAAAGTATGATAATATGATGCGAATAAATCATGCTAAAACTAATGATTGACGAATAGGAAAAAATATTAGCATAAACTAGCTTGCAATGTGGACTAGACATGGTGATTTAGCACAAAACGCCTTGAGAATAGAGGTTAGATAACACTAGTTTGGGTGTTATCAATCACTTTAAACACCGATAAAGTCCATCTTTTATTTCCCTTGTTATAATCTTTTTGTCCAAATGAACTTGGATTCTGCTTAGGCAAACCAGATGCTTCATTAATAGTGTGGAATTGAGTTATGGAGTCTTTTCTGAGATACCAAAAATCAGCGCCATGTGCATCGATTCTGCCTTATTTCTACCTAATGGGAAATTTATGTTTAGCTCCTAGCTTTGTACCATTTGACACCTCTTGGTTTTATAACATAGGGGCTAGGCAGAATCTAATTCTAGATGAACCTTAGTAAGAATTTCCTGAGGTTCAGGTTGGCTTTTTCTAGGAACCTTGATCTCTTATTTAGGATTGTTTTTCACATTGCTTAAAAGAGATCCTAGGGTTCTCTAGGTGTAATAAAGCTCTCTAAGGGAATGAGGAAAAACAAAAATAAAATTGGCAGCCAAACCCCAATTTCTCTATTGTGGCGGCCATTTTTAGAGGTACTCTAGGAATGTCATTTCTAATTGATGAATCCTCAGAAACCCGTCTCCATGTCCGATTAGTTCTTTAGTTTGTAGGGTTTGCGAATCTTAGAGGTTCTTTGACTTTGTAACTCTTGATTTTGACATATATGATTTGATTTCTTCTCTTTCTGCTTTTTTCTTTCATTTGGTTTATCGTTGATACGATTGTATGCTTAATACGAGGACTAGATTAAAAGGCTATATCCTCATACCCGAATTTTTGGATGGATGAGACTGGAAATGATAGCCCCTCACGATCGATCCTCAATCGATCAAACTGCTTCGACTTCCTCATGGGAGAAATCCGTAGGGTCACCTTCGTTGCCTACTAGATCTGGTAATTACCATGGCATATAGTAGGGGTAAACCTAAGAAAGATCAAACATATCATATGTTCTAGGATCAAGAGTTGATTCTTGATTGCTCGTAGGTGCGTTTATTTTAATTTTACTTACTACGGTTGTTGTTTCGAGATTCCTATGCATGGGTGGATGTCACAGGTGTGAAGCTTATGCATACCTACGTCTCAAATACAATACAAGTATCGAAGCATCTTTATTTCATATCGTGACATACAATCTGAATGTCTACTCTCCCACGTGCCTTGGTTGAGCTTGGAATGCATGATCACTATCGTGAGGGTGGAGCAGCTAGATATGAGCATAGTAAAAGGAGAAATACATTATGGATTACCATAAGCACGACTATGTGTAGTTAGAATCATAGCAGAGTCAAAGGAACTCTAGGGGGGAGCTTGCACATGCAACACCTTCCTCTTCTTCTTTCCTCACTGTCCAATAGCGTATATTTACTTTTTTGCATCACGTTACCTTTGAACTCTTACGTTCTGCAAAACCGGAGGCACTTCAACCTCCTAACCTGATCTCTTCTTTAATAGAATAATACCTTGCTTTCAAACTAAGGGTTCTGCGAGAGACCCTAGGGAAATACGATCACGGCCTTAAGGCCAGATAATTTGGCTCTGTTCTATAATGGATCAAATTTTTGTCCCATTGCTGGGGACGTATCGCAAACTTCGAAAAAGAACGAGGTTAGGTTCTATTTCCATTTTTCCTTCTTTCACAATTTCCATTTTTTTGCTTCTGTACATGAGTTTCTGCCTGTGACTGGGCTAGGGCACTAGACACAAACCCTACAATCAACGCCTCGAGTGTTGTTTTTTCTTCAGACTTAGAAGGCCATACGCCTTTTCTGGAGGTGTCCTGCTTCCAGGATGTTACATCCAACCATTTTCTTAACTCAAAAGGACCATTATACCCTTGTGAAACATGTCAAATTCCATCGTGATAACAATGAAGACTCAAAATGAGAACTCTCGGTTCAAACGGTGTTGAGTTTTGATTTAAAATAAGTAAGTTACGGTATTTGAGTTGCGGGTCAAACCGTAATTGTGACTCCAACATACCCTTGAAACCCTAAACCTTACCAACCAGTCCCCATACTCATCCACTTCATTTCATATATATATATAGATGGTTCTATCGTACACCAAAAAAAACCTGGTGTATGTCGTACACCACGAAATCTCCATTGTCAGCGTCCATCTCAACGGCCAACATAAATGAGGTAATTTATTTTTTAATCCCACAAAAAAGAACCCCCATTAATGCTGGCCGTTGAGATGGA